CTACATGCTAACGCTGACCAACACTGAATACAACTGAGACTGACGTCACACAGTGGACATCATCATTCAGCCTGTCAGCAGAAGCTCACACTGAGAGACCTGACACATGTATTATGTCCTGGTGAAGTCCTCTGCTGCCCCCTTCAGCTGTCTTATCTTCCATCCAAGCTCCCTGTTGGTGAAATACAAACAGACACACGAGTGTTTGAAACTGAAATTGCGAACCTTCTAGTGTTGATGATAGCCTCAACGCGTCAGTTCCTCCCATGCACGCGGAGCAGAGCAGCATGTTACATCACTGAGGCAATGGGATGTAATGAGTGTGGACGTTGATGGAGTGGGACGCCACCTGCTGACATCCCCGTCCTGCTGGATCATGGCAGCGGTGGCGTCAGTGACACGAAGCAGATGCTGCCATGTCAGATATCAGTGAGTCCACTTCCTGTACACATTTGGTCAAGATTCTTTGGCTTTTCTAATGTTGTTTTGAGACAACAGGTTAAAGTTTATGAATTTAAGCCACTTTTGTGAAGTGTGAAATAAAAAAAAAGGGGTAAGAATGAGCATTGTTGTTGTTCTTGTATTTCTCTGCTGTGTAATTCTCATGTGATGGGAATATACACACTGGAAATGTTCATTAAAACGATTCTTAGAGGTGAACCATAACCAACCCTGCCTATGAGGAAAGGGTCAGATACTTCAGATACTTCAGATACTTGTAGATACTTGCAGTACAGATACTACACCATAATATCGGGAATCATGCAAATCCAGCATCCTGATTACACCTGAACTTACCAGTCCTCAGTATGCCAAATACTCAGTACCAATACCAGTACTCGGTATTGGTGACTACACAAATGAAGACACTAGTATTTGGGTGAAAAAAAAGGTATCAATAAAACCTTAATGATCCGAATACTGTAGACGTTCCCAGTAACATCCGCTCAGTGCGGTCTTAGTTCCAGACTGGTTTTTGTCAGGGTAGAGTGGAAAAGTCCTGGCTGTGAGGAAACAAACGGCTCTGAAAATAGCTGAGTTTGTGTGAGAGACACTTCCTGTTGTAAAGATGTCGAGATTTGTTTGAGTGGAAATGATCTGTGTCATTCAGCTCCTAACTGGGATCAGACTGTGTGCCTCAGAATCACAGGCTTTTTATAGCACGTCTCTGTCAGTCCAATTTATGGCTCCGAGTGTGTGTGTGTGTGTATCAAGTCAGAGAGAGGGAGAAAGACAGAGAGTTTATTCTTCTCCCCTTGTTGAGTTTCCATCAGCTTTATTTCCACCTGTGTACAGTTAGCTCTGAGCTTGATGTTGACGTTGGTCTCAGCAATACTCTGCCACCATCACTGTTCACAGGTTCACCACTTGTTTAGTCACTACATCAGTGTTCACTCAGCAGACATCATTATCACTGACTGTACTCCACACACACTACACACACTGCAGTCTGATACCAGAGCGACTGTGCAGTATGTCACTTTTTGGACTGTTTCCTGTCTGTTGCTTCTTGGAATCATATTGTAACAATTGCCAAACAAAGAGGATCCACACGGTACCGTCTGTGACACGATTAGAGACAGGAAGTCTGGAAAAATGTTCTTCTTTTCTTCCTAATGGGACCAAATAATAATGGGACTAAAACGTAAATTTGTGCTGTGTCACAAGTGAGCCAAAGTTTGAATGTTAAATTGATGTTGGAGAGTCAGGGTATACAGTCACAATCAGTTTCCTGTTACACACCAGACCATCAGCACCAGGGTAAATAGTAGCCAGAATGGACACACAAAAATGCCATTTTTAAGAGTTGGTAAGAAATGTCACAGGTCAACATCATGTGACCAGGCCTCTGAAGCACAGACTGTAAGCTCTGTTGAGACATTACTTCCTAAAAAAACAGATATTTCCTTGTTTTGTAAATTCTATCCAGGGAAAATACCCATAATGCTTCAAAAACATATTTCTCATGGACATAAAAAACAGGTGGCTAAAAAGAAGCCTGGGCTGGGTTACCAACGTAACAAGAAGACGGTTCTTCAGCCTGACTTGAGTTATGATAACAATGGCTAAACTTTTGATTATGATGAATAAAGTAATTGAGTAAAAATATATTTACAAGAGTAAAAAATAACAAGGAATAAATAAAACACCATGTTACTGTACTCATGTTAGATTTAATAGCTTTAAAACTTTATTTCCTGTGTTTTTGCTGGTAATTATTTACCCACAAAAAAGTCTTGAATGAATATATATTTACTGAAAAAAAAAAGATTCAGCTCAGACCTTTTCTCTGTACAGCAGCTCAGTGGTTCCTCTGGACATCTCTCTCTCTCTCTGTCTGTCTCACAGAAGTGTCGTCTGGTGTCAGTCTCCAGGTGTGTGAGCAGTAAAGACAGAGGGAAACCCTGCAGCCAGCTCTGCTGTCTGTCTGTTCTACAGCAGCTGTCAGCTCCAGACCACTGCTCCCTGGAAATGAAGGGAAACTGAAGGATAGTGTTTTATTTTACCTGCTGTGACGTTTCCTAGAGACAGCTTCAGTTTAAGTCAACAGTGGTTCTATTACGTCGTAGTGGTGACCTTTGACCTGGTGCGGCTGTGAGGTGACATTTTGGAGCTGAAACCTTGATTAGTGATTTGATAGGAGGAGGTGTTGCTGTAAATGTCAGTGAGTGAGAATTTGATCTGAGTTTCAAATACATGCAACCTGCACTGGACGCTTGATGGATGATCGGCCTGTTCATGACGCCTGCCAGTGTGTGAATGGTTTTGTCATTGTACAAGCAGTAGATGTGCAGTGCCTGCCTCACAGTGTCTCACTCCATTCTTCATGATGATCGTTTGAACTGTTGTTCATCTGTTCTCATCGTGTTGTGGTACAGTGTTACAGTGTGATAAAATACTACAGTATTTTCTAACACCAATAATATACACTGGTCATAGTACATGCTGGGACCTCGCTTTAAAGTGTGCGTTGAGTAATCCAGGAAATGTTTCCATGGTGGGATGAGGGACCATCATGATGTTGGACCAGATGACTGCTTCTGGTAGTGGATCCAATCTTGGCATGAAGTTCTGACAACAAACCCTGTTGGTTCTACTCAAAATGGAGGAGAGATTTGATCAGATCAGAGTTTAAATAGTTAAATAGAACAAATATTGTCACTGAGTTGCGTCTGATAAACCAATGACATTTTCTCTAAGTGACCCCTCCTTCTGTTATATTATTATAATATATTATACTGTTACATCATTCTTTACAGTGTTTTCAACCAAAGGAAACATTCATCAAACTATTCAAGTTAATATAACACACAGTATTGGTGTAAAATATTTTGCAGCATATCTTGCATACATTTCAATTATTCACAATTCACAACGTTACTGACAAACTCGCATTGTATTACAGATTTGGTCTCGTGAGCACAGAGGCGAATCAAAGAAGTGAACGTTTTCTGAACTCATTTTATGGAAAGCCTCAGTGCTTCATGAAGATTGATCCCACACTCATCAAGCTGCACTGTGTCATGTGAGCAGCTCAGGCTCGTCACTGTACTGCACACTGGGTTTTACCGCTGCACCTTTAAAAGTTCATGTTTTCACCCGACCTTTCTAGAAAAGCGGAAGATTGGTAATGTAGTTTTACAGTAAGACCTTTCCTTACGTCATTTCCTACAGGTGTGCTGCAGATGTGAGGCCCTGCTCAAGCTGTTGTCTGTCCTGTCAGTGTGTGTCAGTGTCTGTGGGCCCAGGTCTCAGTGTCTCAGCAGCCTCCTCTGATGCCAGGTCTCCATTCACACTGATCACACATTAGACTGATCGAATCAGACCTCAGGCCTGCTTCCTGACTAACCCAATTTGCTCTCGTATGCTTCCCTTTTCACGCTGAGCACAGACCCACACACACACGTGCTAAAATGTGTGCACACAAGCACAGAGCCTACAGTGAGTGGGGCAGTACCCATAGAGTTGTAATGAAAAGCAGAAAAAGCTGTTGCCTTGGCAACTGCCGGCACACATCTTCAGGAGGTCCCAGATTTGCTGTCTGACTGCACTCGTATTGTTTTGGTTTTCATTTGATAGCCATGGTATCTGCACATTATCTCACCACTGGAAAAAAAAACAAAAACGCTTTGTCATCATGAAATTAAAATACACCATTTGTGCAGATAGAATTAAGCAACGTCTGTGAATAAAAACAGACATGAACAGCTGACATTCATGAACATGACATTAGCAATAAATCATTTGTTTGTGTAATCAGCTGTCACGTTCATCTGGTGGGGAAACACTGTTGCGAAGAGCAGAGGATCATGGGAATTCGTGATGTTTTCAAACCACCCATAGTTGCAGTGACGTGGATAACTTTTACTGAACTATCAAAGTTACATCATAAACTATCACATTTGTTTTTTATGCCATCACCATTCCCATCACCAGGACCATGATCACTTTGATATCAATAGAATTGTTTGTGTTTGTTGTTTGTTGACCTGAGGAGGAAACACACCAGACCATTGTGTGGTCTAAAGTCATATTAGAGGAAAAACAGGGGATAATAATTAGTATAATAGTAGTAGTAATTACACAAAGGATTACACACACGCACAGAGTCACACACTCAGAGTTAATTTGTCCACATCTGAGTCCCAGATGTTCCCCTGTGGATATAATTAAGTGTGTTTCCTCCTGTTTGTGTTAGTGATGACATGATGGTTGGTGTTTCTAACGGCACAGGACTCACTCTGAGAGGAACAGCAAATGTTTGTTGACCTTCTTTAGACACAAACCAGTTTCCTCATTTCTCTTTGAAGAGTCACATGACAGTGGAACTATATTATTCAGTACTCTGAACTCAGAGACAAACACGTACTCTTACCTCTCACCTTTATCTCAGTAGAAGGAGAGTTTTAACATATATTTTATCCTATATCTTGGAGTTTGACATCAGTGACGCAGCTCTACCCTGTTAACTGTATCGTGTAACATCATCTCCTCCACAGACGGCCTATAAACCCTGGCTGTGTGCTCAGTATTTCCCCACCCCTCAGAGGTCCTGTCAAAGGAAGGTACCGTGTCACCAGTACTGCCTGGAGGTCCAGCAGAGCTGCCCGTTCATCCTGCCCGACAATGACGACCTGATCCATGGCGGCAGCCCCAGTTTCATCTGCACAGGTGGGTACTTGGAGTCCATTTGTCTTCAGAGACCCAGTCAGTCTGCTCCCTGATTTTATGAGTGTCATTGTGAGGAACATGTTATCAAAGGCTGCTCATGAACCTGTCATTAATGTGCTCTCCATGTTAGCTGATTTCCTCCTGGAGAAATCATCACGGTGTTTGTCCTGGCTCTCTGATAACATCTAGTGTTAATCCTCAGAACTGCAGCCTCACACAAGGTCACTCAAACCAAGTATTAGTGAATAACACTTGGCCCATGAGGAAATATTTACCACAGTTCAAACACACACAGTCTTGTTAAAAAACATTTCCTTTATTGCATATTGTCTGAAGTGTGTTGAAGCAGTTGCCTGTCTCTGACAGGTCTCCTGGGAGGTCATCCATCAGACAGCGAGGCCGAGTGCTGCGACGTCCGATGGGATTCCAAAATGGAAAACCCATCAGGGAAGGCACTAAAAAGGACTGCTTCCTCCTGCCAGCCCGAGGGGGCCACGGTTACTTCTGCTGCCCCCCCTAGACTGTGCAATGGGCGACTGAAGATCTGCCTGCTGGCCCTGGTTCTCCTGCACTCTGTCATCGTCATCTCGGCCTCCCATAATTCTACATTGGTGGGTGTGGCCGCTATCTTTTCACCAGAGGAGAGCGCGTCAAATGAGGAGTAAAACCTTGGGGTTGAGTCAAGGCCTCAGCTCCTCCACAATAAGAGGAGGAGGAGCTAAAATTGGGGTTTTTCACAATGTTGTGGTTTTCGAGAAACGCTGGAAAAGCCCCTACAATCTGCTACAGATGAACCACCAAATGCAGAAGGTTGGGGGGAGCGGGTTAACTGGAGCTAAGGATGCTGGGAATGGACATGGACAACATCAGATGTTTAAGAACCTCCCTCTCCCCAATAACTGACCTTTTGCCACTTCAAAACCTGCTCATTGTTTCTATTCCATTCACATGTTTTTGGCTTATTGTCCCTCCTCTTCTCCCCATGTCCTCCCTACCTACCTCCCTTCCTCCCCTTCACCTCATTCCTTCATTTTCTGAGTGTGTGTGGACGCCCCAGGAAAACTGACATCGATGCAGGCCCTCCTCTAGATAATCACCATTGACCTGCCTTTGTGTTCACGTACCAGGTTTGTTATTTTCTCTTAGTTGTTCCAAGGTCTCCACTGACTTGACGCAGAGATGTTTTCCTTCTCACTATCTGGTGTGAGATGTTGTCAGGAACCAGCTTATCTAAACATCACATGAGTCTTCTCTTCTCAACTTCTCTGTTGTTTTTCTACTTTCTGATGTCCATCCTCTGCTATCATTTAAGTTTTGTTTTGTTTTTTACCGTAAGTGCTCTGATAGTGGTGCGCTGTCTTTGGAATTATGATGAAGGAAGAATTAGTTGTGATATGGCTTGTGTTCACAGAGCAGAAATGGAGTCAAGTGCTGGTAAAGTGCTGTGCTCACTTGCAGGACGAACCCAGGGGCACTAGAGGGCAGCAGCATGAAGCCGAACCATAAAGAGCCTCGTATGTTCACCAAGTTAAATTTGTGCGAATAAGTGTCAGTGGATAAGGGCTGTGCTTGTGTCAGTGCACATGCAGTGTGAGGAGCTTTTAAAGGGCTGATCCATCTTTCTCTTTATTAGTGTGTCACTGCACACGTCACACAGGCTTTATTCTCTCAAGTGTTGACCAGTTCACACTGAAGTCTTTGTTTTCAGAGTTGACCTCATTATTCTGTCCATGTAGTTTTGCTTAGATGGCTCTGGTGTGTTGCTGTTGTTTTCTTCCTTTCTCCCAGAAGACTAAGGACCACAGTCTGGTGGATCTATGCAGATGAGTCCCTCTGTGACCAGCGTCACCAGAAACACCCCTGTCCCCACCTATTGGTTGTAAATATGTCTTGAGGATGTTAGACCCACTCCACTCCCCTCCTCGACTTCCCATCTCCCCCCTCACCTCCTCTCCCACTGTTGAAGTTGAGTGTTTTCTGTTTGCTCCCTTGGTTTTTGTCTGTTCTAATGAGACTTTTTCGCAGCATCTTTCCGTTGTCTGCAGCAGTGGTGTGCGTTGATGAGTAGGCCTGAGCTGGAAAAGTTAAAAAGACCCGATAAAGAGCTTTTTAAGAAGAATATATTCAGACAAAAAAGAAGCAGGAACCTGTGAGGAGGATTCAGATGTAGAGAAAAAAGACATGATGATAAAGTTGTCATATTATCATACTAGAGATGCTTTAGTTTGCTAATTTCCTTTCTTTTTTTCTACAAAACACTTGGATGAAATTATTTATAAGATGCGTCCCACAAGTCATGATCTTTTTTGGACGTAAAACAAATACATTTATTAACATTTTGTTCAAAAGAAAATAAATATAAATTATGTTAAACATCAGTTGTGTTTGTGTCTTTTTCACTAACAGTAAGTCCATCCAGGAAGTGGGTCCACTGGAATTCTGACTATTTTTGTGCTAATGTTTAAGATGCTGACATCATTCAAACATTTTGTAATGACGCTTTTTTATACTTCAAAGTGGGATTCAAATGCTTTTAACTATGGAACAAATGATTTGAAACATTCACCCCTGCAAGATATTGCCTGTTTGAGGACAGTGGTACTCCTGATATCCTGAGAGATTATTATCCCGGGCAGCTACTGGGACAGCTCTGTGGCTGCAGGGAAAGTTGGTTCTGAGTCAAGGCTAAAAAAATTTTAGCACAAATAGCATGTTGAAATTATAATTATCTGACATTTAAAGGAATTAATTTAATGCTTGTTTTGTTGGAGACACCTTGAGATTATGTTTTGTTATTGAAATGGAAAACATTTTGAAATAATTACATCTGTATTAGACCTGTTTACATTGTAGATATGCTGTAAAAGTGAACTGCAGCACTACTACACTACAACATGGTTCGCCTTTGACTGGATATTGTGACCCACGTCTTATCTGCCAGACATGGACATTCAATAACATTCTGCCAAAGCCTATAATTCGCTGCTGCATATGGACCACGTAAACTATGCAGTGGTACGCCCTCCTGCAGTTTTATGTGGCTACACCGGGTTACAACTATAATATTCCTGCACGTGGTTGTGTTTTGAGTTGAGTAGGGCAACACTGCCATCTTGTGGTTACACTTGGTATTAAGAAATAAGATGAGACAAAATTAGGCAATATTTTTCCAACCTTTACTACGTTGAAAATGACAAAGATTTAAAATAAATCCCTACACAACCAGGGCATTATTTTATTTCTAAAGTGACTCTTCGTTTTAGTGTATGAATAATATGCATTCTTATAGGTTTATTTTTTTTAACAAACACTATTTTAAAACACTCAAAGTTCATTCGTAGAAGGTCAGCTTGAACTAATGATTCATTTAGATATATATATATATATATAGGAAATGAACTCTATGAAAATTGTTTCTTTTACATGAAAATCGTTCAAAGGGTTTGGGAGTTTTCCAAAGAGTTTGGGAGTTTTCATCGTCGCCTTTAAATTTGCTAAACTTTAATGTAAAAATAGTTTTAGCCGTCAAAGCCGTCTGCCATTACTGCAACAAGGGTATCACATTTATCACGTAATTTCACATTTGAACTATGCATTTGTGTTTTTAATGAGAGAAACTCGTGTTTACAATAATGCCGTTAGCACGTAAATGCAGCATGGGAAAACATGGCGGACTTTACGGTTTAACAAAAACGTCCCGCCTCCGTAGTAAGTGTGATTGGCTGGGGGTCAGAACTAGGAGCTCTGATTGCCTGTTTCTAGAGTTTGGTGTTTCCTTCGTTCTTCCGGGCTAAGGATACATTTGTTCTGCTGTTGGAATAGTTAAACAACAAAGATCTACAAACTGGAACGAACACAATGTCCGCGGTGGCACTACTTCTAATACTGGCTTCCGTTTATGGAAAAGCTGCAGCGGAAAAACAACTAATTCATGTTACTGTGGTAAGTCATGTTTAAACCTCTGTTACAACTCCGCATCTCCGGATTGTGGATTATTTTTTCACCGAAAAACATCGAACGATTTAACAGTCAACAGTCATTAACAGTTATTTTCATTCGCCTCTTTTGCTGTTATTTTGGTCAAATGTGTGCGACTTTTCTCATCGTGGTATAAGATAAGGAATTGGTCTATTTTCTTATTACTGTAGGCCAGACAGTTGAATAAGGGGCTTTACAAACGAGCATAGAGTTTGTACGGGGATAATGGACAGGGAAGTAGAAGTCAGCTGACGTGAAACACTGCTAGGTCAAATAGATATCATCTGGACATCCTCTTTTGAAATTTGTACTGCGCCATAACCTCCATAACGCTGCCTTGCAATGTACTGAATATTTCCTGGAACCCGACTTAAAGACGTATTTGGGACAGTACTCGGTATCGGCGAGGACACAAATTGGTTCACCAATAAAAGAGTCAAACATGTCAATAACAGACCCAACATTTCAAAACGCAGCATTAAGAAACAATGCACACACTGTGGGTTCTGTGATCAACACTAACGTTTTACTGACTGGTGAATATATATTTCTAAGCTAACAAATGTTTGTACAGATGGTAGATGTAAATGTGCTGAAAAATGACCTTAAAAATCGATTAAAGCTAATTGTAACAATATGTTGGTATTATTTTGAGCGTGAGCCACTTTACAAATGGCGCCTCATACCCTGAGAGGTTAGTTTTATCTTACCAGACTAGTGCCAATCCGACAACCTTAGTTCGTAGCCCACCCTTTTTTTTTGCTACTTTTTTTACATGCAGTAGTTTCGTACTGTCAACTCTTTGTAGTCAGATGCAAATGTTTTACTAGTAAGTCAGTGTCCAACAGGCTAGTAATTAGCCTGTAGCATTACACACTAATTTAGAGGTAAAACGAGTGCTACTGGTTAAATTCGATTAACATAATAACTGGTTAATGCTGAAACACTACTCATAGCCTACTAACACTTTTGTAGGTTGAACCCCATGTTGTAGATACTGTTGTGAACAGCAGTACAGCATTGAATGTATATTTACATCTTCTACAAATTGAATGTAACACACTATGTGATGTCTGTCACCTGTACACTGAAGGCAGCTTTCTCTACCTCTACATCTCCAACACTATGTGACAGTATGTATGTTATTATTATGTAACATTTAAATAAACAGATAAGTACGTCATGTGTTTTCACAAGTTTGATGCTGTGGTTGGAGCTGGAGCAAAGTTTATCTGCTGTATAGAAGCCACAGAAGTATTTATTGCTCCTGTTTCAGTCCAACTGCTCCTGTCATTTTAACACTAATATACCTCCATAACTCCAAATGGTTGAAAACAATCAGCTCCCGTTTCAGCACTTCAGATGTGGAATCTGTAACCAATGTGAGAATTAAAGTTTTATGGGCCGCATACTCGCATGTTTTGACTAACTATGTTAATTAAGCCACAACATTATGGCCCAGCATTAAAATCTGTTTTGGGGATTGGGAGGTGGGTAAACAGTTGATGTTAATTTTTTAATTTACTGATCACATTTTTAGAATACTTTTTTTTTTTTAATTTTTTTTTTTACTGTTTTAGGGTTAGGGCTTCCTGGGGAAACGCATCAAGTGTCCATGTGTATGTGTTGCACTGGCACTCCCTAGGATGACACTGTTACTGTTCACTCCTTGAAATAAACACACAAAACATTTTACCTGACAGGTTTTATTACGGTCATAAGACTGCAGATATACTTCCTTAAAACTCCCTGCGTAGTACATAGAGGCTTTTGTTGCTCAATAACATTGTCAAATGTGGTTTCTGTTCTAGTATCTGTCCTCCATTTAATCGCTTTACTGAAGAGACACAGGGCTCCACCATAAGGTTACTTCCACATTTGCACTATGAATAACTGTCATCTATCATAAATTTGGACAAACGTTTCAAAGACATTTGTCTGCAGTCAATGTATTTATAATATAATTACTTATCATAAACTTTAATGAGAGCTGAGATAATTATCACTGGCTGCTCTCTGCCCAGCCCGGAGGACATTGCCAACTCCCGCTCCCTCCGCAGAGCTAGCAACATCATAAAGGACCCGTCCCACCCCAGTAACTCTCTGTTCGACATGTTACCGTCAGGCAGACGGTACAGGTCACACAAAACCAGGACAAACAGACTCAGAGATAGCTTCTTCCCGAAAGCTATCTCAGCAGTAAACAATAGAAACAAAACCAGTTAAAATAGTCCACACTATTTCACACTTTACTGATCATATTGATCACTGTGCAATAAACATACAACTATGTGCAATAACTAACTACACCAAAGATATGTTGTTATATGTTTGTATATACTGTTGTCTTTTACTATTTTTTTGCACCAAGTGAGTAGCGCTCAAATCTCGTTGTACACTGTACAAGGACAATAAAGGCTATTCTATTCTATTCTTTTCTATTATATGAATTGTCTATAATTTGTCTCGTATTCATTAATTAAAAGAAAGAAGAAGATAGGACTAAGATGCATCTTTTGTAAGTCAATTAATTAATTTATTTGATAGGATTATTCCCTTTTTTTAATTTCATTTAATTTATCATTTGACCTTATTCTTGTCAAAATCCTAGTATGTAAAAATGTTTCCTGGGTGTTGTTTCACAGTGAAAGGTCGACACATCATTGCTGTAATGACCTTTGACTTTCAACACACACTTGTACACAGTGGTCAGCTGACTCGTTTCCCCCCAGAAGTGACAAAGATAACATCACGAGCATGGTTTACGTTTGTTTTTTTTCGCATATATTTTTGTTATTTAATATCTGAACTTATGCCATGTTGTGAGCACAGCGACAGTGTGAGAAAGTAATCTTTTCAAATCATTACAAACATCATGTCCAAAAGGTAACCAGGAAGTAATTAATTGATATTTGATGTTTGTCAAAGAGACTTTAGTCATGTTTTATCCAACCATTGAAGTGACACAGACACAATCAAATGTGGAAAACTACTTCGAGCTAAAGTATTAGAAGAAACAGTCATTCTGTTACCAGAAATAGTGGAAATACCAAGATAGTCAGTTTTGCTCACAGCCACTTGTCCCTCTGCTCTGTATCTTACTCCATTGAAATTGAAATCTTGTTTTCAGCTTTTTTTTACCATGAGTCCTCCCCATCTGCTTTCTCCCCTCCAGCTGTTTCGACATGGAGATCGGTCGCCAATCAGATCTTATCCCACTGATCCATACCAAGAAGACTCCTGGCCGCAGGGCTTTGGACAGTTAACACCGGTACTTCCTGGCTCTCCTGGGCCACACCGCACCTGTTCTATATTCTAGGTCATCCTGCTCCTATTTTAGATGTTGTGGTCACCAGTAAAGTCTGTGTGTTCTCTCTGATCTGTGTGTTCAGAAGGGGATGAGGCAGCACTTGGAGCTGGGACAGTTCCTGAGGAATCGATACAAAGGATTCCTACCAGAATCCTACTCCAGATATGACGTGAGACCCAGACATCGCACACAGTGCTAATTGACTAGTGTTTAGAAGAAGAGGGAAGTTAATAAAGCTGACCTACTGTACATCTTGGATTGACTTTGTTGTCAGGTTTCGGTTCGGAGCACAGACGTTGATCGGACTCTGATGAGCGCTGAGGCCAACCTGGCAGGTCTAGAAAAATGTTTCCTCCTCCTCCTCTGCTTGAATTAATTTTTATCAGTGCTGCTGGATTTTTTTTTTAATTGTAACACACGGTTTTCCCTGTTGTAGGTCTCTACCCCCCCAATGGATCCTTTGACCCAACCCTAAACTGGCAGCCTATTCCTGTCCACACCGTGCCTGCAGCTGAAGACAGGGTATGTTTGAGGACATGGGTATAATTCTTAATAACTTACTCTGTAAATGGACTAATACTCTTGCTGCATTTTTTTTCTCCTCAGCTTCTCATTTTTCCTGTGCCTGACAACTGTCCCCGTTACACGCAGCTGATAAATGAAACTCAACAAACAGAAGAGTTTATTAACTTCACCAGGAAACATCAGGTCAGACTTGTTTCCCTGTTAAAGTAGAGTTATCACAAAGGCTGTGGTTATTATGGACAAAATAATATGAGCCTTGTCAATGTTAATAGAATTATAAAAATGAAAGATATGTTGATTTCGTACATTTGCAGCCATCCATCTTTGACCCATTGATCCCTTCCTCTCTCTGCAGAAAATTCTGGATCTGGTAAAGGAAAAAACTGGGCTGGAAAGTTTGAATACAGTCTGGAATGTATATGACACACTATTTTGTGAGGTAAATACAAAAACCCACAAGGATGAGGGGGTGTGGTTTTCCAGGTCTGAACCCGTTCACTGCCCTGAAGCAAGAGTGAGAAATGTCTGTAGGAAGTATGAGGTGGAGGCAGACTGCTGAGGTCCTGCTAACAGGCTCAGTACAAGGTTGATACCAAGTCAGAATGTTTTTAAGATAAATAAAAACACAATCTTTATTCTTTACTAATCCTCTATTTAGTGCAAACACTTTTTGTAGTGATTTTCCATCAGATTATTTCTTTTTTGCAGGACATCTTTCTCACACATTCACAACCTGCTTCTGAGGCTGAAATTAAGTTCAGTCTTTAATGGGTTTCTTTGGGGGGATTTGGGTTTTTGGAAAATAAAAAGAACTTATTAATGGAGCTTGATTTAAGGTGTGAATCTGTCATTCAGGTTAGGTTTGGATAAGGTTTGCTGAATAATTAATATTGTCAGAGTGGCTGAGAGTTGTTGTCCTAACATGCCTTGTTATTGTCATGGTAGCTTGCACATATGACCTGGTCAAACATTTTCCACAGTGTCACTTTTAGGAACAAGCATTCAACCACTGCCGACCCGGGTAAGGGGTCTGAAAAATGTCCAAATTTACAAAAAAAAATGACCAAAGAAGAAATTAAAAAGTCCTAACAGTTCATCTCAAATATCCCTTTAATGTTTTGTGTTGTTCTCAGGCCATTCATAACATGACTGCGCCCGACTGGGTGACTCCTGATGTGATGTCACAGCTGAAAACGATAAAAGACTTTGAGTTGACAGTAAGAGAGTTGACTTTTCCTCATCTGACCATTAACAACAATCTTTCAGCTGTTTTGATGTTGACTCTGTTTGTTCACTCTTTATCACAGTCCATATTTGGACTCTACAAACAACAAGAGAAGAGTCGGCTGCAGGGAGGTATGTGTTTATAGAGAATGTATAAAACTACATTTTATATATATATATATATATATATATATATAATTTATATATATATAGTGAATGTGAGCAGACGGTTTACATCAATAGTGCATTTTAATTGAAACAAACTCTAATGTTTTAATAAATACAAAACAAATACCAAGTTGCTAAACACACAATGGGGGTTTAATTGGTTTGCCTTAGTGAGGTGACAATGCCTCGCATAACATCTATGTGGATAAACTGAGAAGAGACTTTACTGTATATCTGTGCCCTAGGTCTCCTATTGGCCAACATTGTGGAGAACCTAAACAGGGTGGCTGCCAGCCAATCAAAGCAGGAGCAGAAACTCTTCATGCTGTCAGCAGTGAGTGATTAAATAACTACATCTGGAAGCACTGGTCTTTGATACACCAAGGTGAATCACTCACACTGTGTCTGTGTCTTTACAGCATGACACCACTGTAACTGCTCTACAGATGAGCTTAGATGTGTTCAATAAATTGCAACCACCATACGCCTCCTGTCAAATCATCGAGCTCTACAAAGACGACAATGGGTAAATCACTAACACACACACACACGCACACCAGTTTTGGAAAAAAAAAATCAAAATGATGAGAATGGTTTAAATTTCCTTAGTAACAACATTAAAAATGTAGCTGTCATAAACGTTAAAAAACCAATAAAAGGAAGTTAATATAAAAGTAAAGATTTTTTTGCTGTAACACCATTTCTTCTACCTCTGTGGAAATCATTGCTCTGCTGTGCAGGTTAAAACATTCTGAAACATGACCAGACCTTCTTCTGCCCTGGCCTCTTTGGATTAATCCTACTTCATTTGTATATTGTTTTGTTTGCAGAAAATACACTGTTGTCAACAGATAGAAGACAGAACATCTGCATTTCCTTTAGCCCTCCCCTCACAGTGAGGGAGTTATAGTCAACTTTGTGATGAAAGATGTGAAAGAGAAGCTGACAAAGGGTGGGTGTCACCAGGAAATGTGTCAGAAAAATGACAGTTAAGCACATTACAGTCATTTACATTTTGTATTATTAGTCAAATACATTCCTCATACTTGAATGGAGTTGATCTCTGAAAGAAGAAAGACAGGGTTGACAGTGTCTACAGACTACGCCTTCTGTGATAATCACAAAACTCACTCCTCAGGGAGGTTTCGTTTTACATTTTTCAGACGCACATCAGAAGCATTAACAAAACACAAAACAATGTTTGTTAGATTTCAAGTGTCTCCTCATCTGCTCTCAGCTCTTTTTCAGTTTCCCTGTTTTACCGTAACGACACCACAGTGGAGCCATACCCGCAGAACATACCAGGCTGCCCTCACGACTGCCCCCTGGAGGACTTTGTGAGACTGACAAAGCCCTTTATTTCAGATGACAGGGACAAAGAGTGCCAAGTGTCCCCCACATGGACAGATAAAGGTAAAGGTCTCAGACACACTCACAATCTCCACATGTCTCTTCAACCCTATTTTCAATCCAGTCCAGTCCAGAAAAGCACATCAACAGAGTTGAAGCCACCAAAATAAAAAGCGCTCTAATATTTATTTTTGTCCAATTTCTATCAAATTGCACTTTGATATGATTCATTAAAACAAAATCAATAAATACATGTTTCTAAAAAAATTCAGAATCAAATGTCATAAAATAGTTAATGACATTTAATCTTTATCCATCCTCATAAGGTAATTGGCAACAGATTCACATTTACATTGTCAACCTAGCTGCTGAGAGCAGAGTAAAAAAAAAAGCAAAATAAAAGCAAATACAAATAAACACGTATACAACAAACTGTACAAAGTCATATACAGTGGTATGAAAAAGTATCTGAACCTTTTGGAATTTGTCACATTTCTGCATAAAATCACCATCAAATGTGATCTGATCTTTGTCAAAATCACACAGATGAAAAAACAGTGTCTGCTTTAACTAAAACCACCCAAACATTTATAGGTTTTCATATTTTAATAGGATAATAGGATAGCATGCAAACAATGACAGAAGGTATATTTTAATAGGATAATAGGATATCATGCAAACAATGACAGAAGGGGGAGGAATAAGTAACTGAACCCTCACATTTAATATTTTGTGGCCCCCCCTTTGGCAGCAATAACTTTAACCAGACGCTTCCTGTAGCTGCAGATCAGTCTGGCACATCGATCAGGACTAATCTTGGCCCATTCTTCTTTACAAAACTGCTGTAGTTCAGTCAGATTCCTGGGATGTCTGGCATGAATCGCTGTCTTGAGGTCATGCCACAGCATCTCAATGGGGGTCAAGTCTGGACTTTGACTTGGCCACTCCAGAACGTGTATTTTGTTCTTCTGAAACCATTCTGAAGTTGATTTACTTCTGTGTTTTGGATCATTGTCTTGTTGCAGCATCCATCCTCTTTTTAGCTTCAGCTGTCTGACAGACGGCCTCAGGTTTTCCTGCAAAACATCCTGATAAACTTAATGATTGCAAGTTGTCCAGGCCCTGAGGCAGCAAAACAGCCCCAAACCATGATGCACCCTCCACCATGCTTCACGGTGGGGATGAGGTGTTTATGTTGGTGAGCTGTTCCATTTTTCCTCCACACATGACGTTGTGTGTTCCTCCCAAACAATTCAACTTTGGTTTCATCAGTCCACAAAATATTT